GTGAAAACAAAGAAAAAAATACGGCGTCAAGGGGGCGGGGGTATTTTGATTAAAAAAGTGACGACCCCAGCCGCGCCCACTTATAGTTTTTAAGTCATTTGTTGTTAAAGTTGCGAAATTCACAAAATATGTTGATGCAAATTGCATCGATTTTATCATCCAAAAGTGCTTCAAATAGATAAATGTGACTTAAATGAAAACACTTTTCAGTAATATGCTATTTTTGCTAATTTAACCACGATAAAACATTTACAAAAGTAGTGAAGTAGTAAACATGCGAGGGTTGCAACTGAACACCGAAGTTGGTGCTGCCAGACGATTTATCATCACAATATTTACTTGCGTCTACAGTATTTTTGCGTAGAATTCCTTTCCGCGTAGGCGGCTTTCGGCCGCGCTTTAGGATTATAACCCTTACCGAATATAATTCTCCTTTTGGTGTGAACCAACTGGGGGTACCGCCCCAGTGATGTAGCCTCGGGAAAGGGTGAGGTAACTAGAATTCCCTTTCTGTGTGGTAAACCTGGGGCTGCCGCCCCAGTGATGTCTATTATGGTTACTGGTTACTGGCTCGCTTGTGGCTCTATTTTAAAAATTTAAAAACCTTAAAAAAGGGTAACCAGTAACCATAATAGACATCGCATTTATTATTCTGTTAGTTGCAACTAGGTGTAATAAAAACATGGAGGTGCTTGGTATTGCTAATATATCAGCCTTATCACGAGTTTCATTTTCCCCGAATCGGCTCACTTTTAACTTTCGGTTTCCATGTATTTGCTATGGGCAGATGACAAATTTTCGGGTGATTTTTTTTTTTTTTTTTTGCGAAACCCATGATAAGGCAGATTACTTTAAGAGAAGGTGATGCCAATAACAATAAATTAGTTCTACCCTTCTTCTTCGGCAACACCGTTTAGGTCGGCGAAGTATCTCAAAAGTTGTTCGTCCATAGGGCTACATCTGCTACGAATTCTTCTGCTCAGGGCTGGCATCGAGTCAAACCCAGGGCCAGAAACCTTCACCTGCTGTGTATGCCAGAGGCGACTACACCACAACTCCACCTCAGTCACGTGCAATGCTTCCAAGGGGTGGAGTCACCTCAGAGTCTGCTCAGGACTACGGACACATCGGCAGTGGGCCACATCCTTTGTGGCCCCCTGCTGCTCAAACAGAGCAGCCTCCACGGCTAACCCCAGTGCACCTGACCAGCTCAACACACACACCACAGCACCACAACATAACAATACAATAGAACACCACAACCACGACAGACCACATAACAGACACAATCGCACCACCACCCACACGCCGCCGCCAACAACTCCTGGTTCCTCCTACAATCTGCACGGTATGTCAGACCAGGATATTCCGTAATGTGACCTCAGTCAAGTGCAACACCTGCCTTGGTTGGTGCCACTTTAGGGCATGATCAGGTCTGCGCACCATGGACGAGGAACTTCGAGGGCCCATGTTGCGCTGCTCCGTCGCATACCCCTTACTGCGACGCCACCCCCTACCACCACAGGGCGGCAACCTCCACAGCGGCACACACAGCCAATGGCGGCAAGGCCACACACATCCTTCAAACCCCGTTTAACTACACGTCTCCCGATCCACGTGAAGCTCCTTCAATTCAACTGCAACGGACTTCAGAGCAAGATCGAGNTTCAAACCCCGTATAACTACACGTCTCCCGATCCACGTGAAGCTCCTTCAATTCAACTGCAACGGACTTCAGAGCAAGATCGAGGAGATACCCGTCTTCATGGGAAGGCATGGTATATTGATAGCTGCGGTTCAAGAGACGAAATTGCACAGCAATTCAACATTGTTGAATTGTGCCGGGTACAACGAGCCGGGTATCGCGAGCGAGATAATGGTGGTGGCTTAGCGTTCATCACGCACCACTCCGTGCAGTAGCGTCTTATTGAAGCAGACATCGACCGCAGGGATACCACCCTAGAATGTCAGGGCATCGCTATCCAGTCAGGCGATGTTGAGCTCGAAATATTTAATGTGTACATACCCACTGTCACCTGCTGCCCGGCAGGATATCACCCAGACATAGGTGCGCTCCTCAGAGGTGAAATCCGCATGGTAGTAGGTGACTTTAATGCGCACCACGCTCTTTGGCACTCAAGCCTGACAAACGAGCGTAGAGGAACTGACTTGGTTGGGCAGATAGACGATTCGACATTCTGCACAATGAACGACGACGCACCCACCAGGATTATGGGCAGCTGCTGCAGCTCGGAAGACATAACAATAGTCAGCGCTGGTCTGATAAACAGCGTATCATGGCGACCTATGCTGACTTTGTAATCAAACCATCTGCCCATAGTCATCTCGTTCAATAAACCAACCGACTTTGCTTCCGCGGAACACCGGACCTATACCAACTTTTCTAAAGCTGATTGGAAAGGCTTCGCGGAATTTACTGAGAGCACCTTCGCTGCGCTCCGCACACCAACCGACGTCCGCCTTGGTGAAAGTAAGTTCCGCAGGGTTGTCGCTGCTGCTGGAGCTCGCTTCGTACCGGCAGGATGCATAACGGACCCACGTCCAAATTTCCCTGCTGATGCGGCTGTTCTAGCCGATGAGCATTACAGCCTTCGTCAGGCCAATCCCGGAGATCCCCGTATCAGGAATCTCAACGCGGAGATTCGGCAACTAGTGAACGTACAAAAGCGGAGGAAGTGGGAAGAGTATCCGAAGACTTGTAACTCCACCTCTGGTGTGAGTAAGCTTTGGTCACCCGTGAGGTCACTGTCCAATCCGACGAAGCACACCGACATGGTCGAAATTTCTTTCGGCGATCATGCATCGTCGGACCCGGAGCGATGCGCGAGCTATTTTAGCCGGCAGTTCATACCGCATCCTCCGGTGGACAAAGCCAAGCGTCGAGTGACTAGCAGGCTGCACAAACTGCCAACGACTTGTGCCCGCCCGCCTTGCTTTCACTTGCGCTGAGGTTCAGGTGGCCATCGGGAAGGCGAAAGCCTCCAAAGCCATGGGTCCCGACGGAATATGCATGCTGATGCTGAAAAATTTGGGTCCTGCGGGGGTAGCGTACCTAACGGAGGTCCTNTGAGGTTCAGGTGGCCATCGGGAAGGCGAAAGCCTCCAAAGCCATGGGTCCCGACGGAATATGCATGTTGATGATGATGCTGCCAGACGATTTATCATCACAATTTTTACTTGCGTCTGCAGTATTTTTGCGTAGAATTCCTTTCTGCGTAGGCGGCCTTCGGCCGCGCTTTAGGATTATAAACCTTACCAAATAGAATTCTCCTTTTGGTGTGTACCAACTGGGGATACCGCCCCAGTGATGTAGCCTTGGGAAAGGATGAGGTAACTAGAATTCCCTTTCTGTGTGGTAAACCTGGGGCTGCTGCACCAGTGATGTCTATTATGGTTACTGGTTACCCTTTTTCAAGGTTTTTAAATTTTTTTAAATAGAGCCGCAGGCGAAAATTTTTAATAAAAAATCGCGCGATTTTTTATTCCAAATTTTCCTTTTTTAAATATTTTATATTATAAAAAATATCGACGCAGGCGTAAATATTTGCTTTTTTAATATTGTTTATTAAAAAATGCGAAAATATGGTTTATTATGTATTTTCCAAAGAAAAACATACATTTTTCTTAAAAAAATGGCCATAGTTAAAACTTTTTTAGAAGTTTGTTGTCTTAAAAAGCACATATTCAAACCTACCCTTATGTTGTGGAGACCATTATGAAATATAAGTTGAGTATTTTACTATCCGTAATTTTCGAACACGTGGTAGCACCCTTCTGTTCGGGTAATACAGCCATTTTGATTTGTTTGCTTGTTTACTTTGTTGAAGAAAAGTAGTGAAATGGTTAAACGCGTATTATTGTTAAAAAATAAAATAAAATACGGATGGGCTTTAGTAGACAGCCGCACCTTGTGTTTTAAGAAAACTAGGTGGAATTAACAAATGAAACTTGGTCAGGATGTTAAGGGAGGTATCCTCCAAAACATTACGACTAAAAAATATAAACAATATCATTGTTTATCAGTTATTTGTTGTTAAAATTTCTTAAGTTGTTCCACTTGATTTCCTTGAAAAAAGTGCATTTGTCACATACTTTCATATGTATAAATGAACATAACACTGTACTTAATACTTTACACACTTTTATTTTATTTTATCTGGTATATAAATCACCTTATTAAACTTTTATTGACTTGTAAATTACATTGAATTGCACCCATTGATTGGAAAAATTTATATTGGGGTCGATAGGGGTCTTAGTCCTGATCATAACCGTAATAGACATCTCTGACGCGGCAGCCACAGGTTTACCTCAAAGAAAGGAAATTCTAGTTACCTTATCCTTTCCCAATGATACATCACTGGGGCGGTAGCCCCAGTTTAGCACACCAAAAGGAGAATTCTATTTGGTATGGGTTATAATCCTAAAGCGCGGCCAAAGGCCGCCTACGCAGAAAGGAGAATTGTACTAAATGAAAATTCCGAATTAAAAATCCCCTTTTATTATTCAAAATTTTAGTCTGGCAGCACCAGGTTTGATGTTATTTTGCTTTCTTTTTCATCGTTTATACGAAAACTTTAACAGCAAATTATATAAGAACTATAAGGTTGCTAGAAAAAGGGGGGTATTTTTGAAATCAGGGGGTCTTATTCTACCCCCCTCATCCCACCTTTTTCTAGAATTTGCCGTCCGTCTACTAAAATTTTCCCTACAATACATTTATTGTACACAAATCACACGTGAACATTGAAAAGATCGTGCATTTATGCAAGTACAAGTGATATCTGCACTTTTTATATGAAAATTTGCTAAAAAAGTGAAAATAGTGAGAATTTATGTAAACATATCTGTTTCTTAGCATCCTCGTAAAGTTTCATGAGAAAATTCGTTATAGTTTTGCTAAAACACACACATGTCGATGTATACTGATTCAACCCCTAAATAGTAGTATGAAATGAAGCCATTCTCATTAGACTTACATGGAATTCCTTTCGTATTAGTTCTAGATATTGCGTTGAACTTCTATTTGTTTTAAAATCTTTGTACAGCTTGCTTTGCTCTTGTAATTCCAGAACATTCCTCTGTATCGTTATTTTCTTATTGCCAGTACTATGCAACTGATTCTATAAGTATTTCAGTTTTCATTGGAACACACTTTCGTTCGCTCAAACAGAGCAGCCTCCACGGCTAACCCCAGTCCACTTGACCAGCTCAACACACACACCACAGCACCACAACATAACAATACAATAGACCACACTGCAACAACGACAGACCACATAACAGACACAACCGCACCACCACCCACACGTCGCCGCCAACAACTCCTGGTTCCTCCTACAATCTGCACGGTATGTCAGACCAGGATATTCTGTAATGTGACCTCAGTCAAGTGCAACACCTTCCTTGGCTGGTGCCACTTTAGGGCATGTTCAGGTCTGCGCACCATGCGAGATTGGACGAGGAACTTCAAGGGCCCATGTTGCGCTGCTCAGTCGCATACCCCAACTGCGACGCCACCCCCTACCACCACAGGGCGGCAACCTCCACAGCGGCACACACAGCCAATGGCGGCAAGGCCACACACATCCCTCAAACCCCGTTTAACTACAAGTCTCCCGATCCACGTGAAGCTCCTTCAATTCAACTGCAACGGACTTCAGAGCAAGATCTAGGAGATAACCGTCTTCATGGGAAGGCATGGTATATTGATAGCTGCGGTTCAAGAGACGAAATTGCACAGCAATTCAACGTTGTTGAATTTTGCCGGGTACAACGTGCACCGTCGAGATCGCGAGCGAGATAGTGGTGCTGGCTTAGCGTTCATCACGCACCACACCGTGCAGTAGCGTCTTATTGAAGCAGACATCGACCGCAGGGATACCACCCTAGAATGTCAGGGCATTGCTATCCGGTCAGGCGATGTTGAGCTCGAAATATTTAATGTGTACATACCCCCTGTCACCTGCTGCCCGGCAGAATATCACCCTGACATAGGTGCGCTCCTCAGAGGTGAAAACCGTATGGGCGTAGGTGACTTTAATGCGCACCACGCTCTTTGGCGCTCAAGCCTGTCAAACGATCGTAGGGAAACTGACTTGGCTGGGCAGATAGACGATTCGACATTCTGCACAATGAACGACGACGCACCCACCAGGACTATGGGCAGCTGCTGCAGCTCGGAAGACATAACAATAGTAAGCGCTGGTCTGATAAACAGCGTATCATGGCAACCTATGCTGACTTTGTCATCAAACCATCTGCCCATAGTTATCTCGTTCAATAAACCAACCGACTTTGCTTCCGCGGAACACCGGACCTATATCATCTTTTCTAAAGCTGATTGAAAGGCTTCGCGGAATTTACTGAGAGCACCTTCGCTGCGCTCCGCACACCAACCGACGTCCACCTTGGTGAAAGTAAGTTCCGCAGGGTTGTCACTGCTGCTGCAGCTCGCTTCGTACCGGCAGGATGCATAACGGACCCACGTCCAAATTTCCCTGCTGATGCGGCTGTTCTAGCCGATGAGCGTTACAGCCTTCGTCAGGCCGATCCCGGAGATCCCCGTATCAGGGATCTCAACGCGGAGATTCGGCAACTAGTGAACGTACATAAGCGGAGGAAGTGGGAATAGTATCTGAAGACTTGTAACTTCACCTCTGGTGTGAGTAAGCGAAGCACACCGACAGGGTCGAAATTTCTTTCGGCGATCATGCATCGTCGGACCCGGAGCGATGCGCGAGCTATTTGAGCCGGCAGTTCATACTGCATCCTCCGATGGACAAAGCCAAGCGTCGAGTGACTAGAAGGCTGCACAAACTGCCAACAACTTGTGCCCGCCTTGCTTTCACTTGCGCTGAAGTTCAGGTGGCCATCGGGAAGGCGAAAGCCTCCAAAGCCATGGGTCCCGACGGAATATGCATGTTAATGATGATGCTGCCAGACGATTTATCATCACAATTTTTACTTGCGTCTACAGTATTTTTGCGTAGAATTGCGTTTGTTTTTTAAAAAGCACATATTCAAACCTACCCTTATGTTGTGGAGGCCATTATGAAACATAAGTTGAGTATTTTACTATCCGTAATTTTCGAACACGTGGTAGCACCCTTCTGTTCGGGTAATACAGCCATTTTGATTAGTTTGCTTGTTTACTTTGTGGAAGAAAAGTAGTGAAATGGTTAAACGCGTATTATTGTTAAAAAATAAAATAAAATACGGATGGGCTTTAGTAGACAGCCGCACCTTGTGTTTTAAGAAAACCAGGTGGAATTAACAAATGAAACTTGGTCAGGATGTTAAGGGAGGTATCCTCCAAAACATTACAACTAAAAAATATAAACAATATCATTGTTTATAAGTTATGTGTTGTTAAAATTTCTTAAGTCGTTCCACTTGATTTCCTTAACAAAAAGTGCATTTGTCACATACTTTCATATATATAAATGAACATAACACTGTACTTAATACTTTACACACTTTTATTTTATTTTATCTTGTATATAAATCACTTTATTCAACTTTTATTGACTTGTAAATTACATTGAATTGCACCCATATTTGCAATAGGTTTGTATAGAAACCAATAGTCAGTACTAATTTGTACTGGAACCTGCAAATTTTTACTGGAAAAGTGTATGATAACCCAAAAAATGTGCAACAGAGCACCGAATCGAGAGCGTAACAACACGGGAGAGCTGCAAATTCTTGCTAGTGAAATGTTTACTAGCAGAAATTAGCTAGCAGAAGAAGAAGAAGAATAATGTCAAAAGCCGCCATTTGTTGAATTGGTTTAGCACAAACAAAAGTAAAATGAGTGGAAATAAAAACGTTAATTATGTACTGGACTGTGTAAGTGCTTGTGTGTGAAGCAAGAGTTTAAAACTGATTTATAAATAGTAAAATGTTTACAGAAGAATATCAAAACGGTGCAACAACTATTCACTTGCACTTTTTTACTAGTTTTGTGTTCAATAACTTTTTCTGCTAGTTTTCACTTCTTCTCAATTTTACGCTCTATTTTGCTTTTACGATCTCGCTGCAATGGTTGCAAACTGACACATAACATGTGTTTCCATATTGTACAAAACGATACATATAAAGAAAGCAATGCTTAACACGTGCAGAATACGTACATTTCTCTGATTGGAAAAATTTATATTGGGGTCGATAGGGGTCTCAGTCCTGATCATAACCGTAATAGATATCACTGGGGCGGCAGCCACAGGTTTACATCAAAGAAAGGGAATTCTAGTTACCTTATCCTTTCCCAATGATACATCACTGGGGCGGTAGCCCCAGTTTTGCACACCAAAAGGAGAATTCTATTTGGTATGGGTTATAATCCTAAAGCGCGGCCAAAGGCCGCCTACGCAGAAAGGAGAATTCTACTAAATGATAATTCCGAATTAAAAATCCCCTTTTATTATTCAAAATTCCAGTCTGGCAGCGCCAGGTTTGATGTTATTTTGCTTTCTTATTCATCGTTAATACGAAAACTTTAACAGCAAATTATATAAGAGCTATAGGGTTGCTAGAAAAAAAGGGGGGTATTTTTGAAATCAGGGGGTCTTATTCTACAACCCCTCATCCCACCTTTTTCTAGAATTTGCCGTCCGTCTACTAAAATTTGCCCTACAATACATTTATTGTACACAAATCACACGTGAACATTGAAAAGATCGTGCATTTATGCAAGTACAAGTGATATCTGCACTTTTTATATGAAAATTTGCTAATGGAAGTGCAAAAAATTTAAAAAGCAAATTACTTAAATACTAGTATTAAAAAAGTGATAATAGTGAGAATTTATGTAAACATATCTGTTTCTTAGCATCCTCGTAAAGTTTGATGAGAAAATTCGTTATAGTTTTGCTAAAACACACACATGTCGATGTACACTGAAGTAAACCCCTAAATAGCAGTATGAAATGAAGCCATTCTCATTAGACTTACATGGAATTCCTTTCATATTAGTTCTAGATATTGCGTTGAACTTCTATTTGTTTTAAAATCTTTGTACCGCTTGCTTTGCTCTTGTTGTAATTCCACAACATTCCTCTGTGTCGTTATTTTCTTATTGCCAGTACTATGCAACTGATTCTATAAGTATTTTCATTTTTCATTGGAACACACTTTCGTTCGCTCAAACAGAGCAGCCTCCACGGCTAACCCCAGTCCACCTGACCAGCTCAACACACACCACAGCACCACAACATAACAATACAATAGACCACACCACAACCACGACAGACCACATAACAGACACAACCGCACCACCACCCACACGCCGCCGCCAACAACTCCTGGTTCCTCCTACAGTCTGCACGGTATGTCAGACCAGGATATTCCGTAATGTGACCTCAGTCAAGTGAAACACCTGCCTTGGCTGGTGCCACTTTAGGGCATGTTCAGGTCTGCGCACCATGCGAGATTGGACGAGGAACTTCGAGGGCCCATGTTGCGCTGCTCAGTCGGATACCCCAAATTCGACGCCACCCCCTCCACCACAGGGCGGCAACCTCCACAGCGGCGCACACAGCCAATGGCGGCAAGGCCACACACATCTCTCAAACCCCGTATAACTACACGTCTCCAGATCCACGTGAAGCTCCTTCAATTCAACTGCAACGGACTTCAGAGCAAGATCGAGGAGATAACCGTCTTCATGGGAAGGCATGGTATATTGATAGCTGCGGTTCAAGAGATGAAATTGCACAGCAATTCAACATTGTTGAGTTGTGCCGGGTACAACGTGCACCGTCGAGATCGCGAGCGAGATAATGGTGGTGGCTTAGCGTTCATCACGCNATGTTGAGCTCGAAATATTTAATGTGTACATACCCCCTGTCACCTGCTGCCCGGCAGGATATCACCCTGACATAGGTGCGCTCCTCAGAGGTGAAAACCGTATGGTAGTAGGTGACTCAAGCCTGTCAAACGATCGTAGGGGAACTGACTTGGCTGGGCAGATAGACGATTCGACATTCTGCACAATGAACGACGACGCACCCACCAGGATTATGGGCAGCTGCTGCAGCTCGGAAGACATAACAATAGTCAGCGCTGGTCTGATAAACAGCGTATCATGGCGACCTATGCTGACTTTGTCATCAAACCATCTGCCCATAGTCATCTCGATCAATAAACCAACCGACTTTGCTTCCGCGGAACACCGGACCTATACCAACTTTTATAAAGCTGATTGGAATGGCGTCGCAGAATTTAC